TATAGTGGCAGATGCCATTCGAAACACTCCAGTGTCGTCAGATGAAGTCAGGGAAGAAACGCTTCGAGACCCAACACTACAAGAAGTTAGAAAGTTCCACCTAGAAGGGTGGCCCTCGAAAATCTATTCCACAGACCTTCAACAGTTTTACCAGCGAAGACTCTCTCTTTCAATCATCGATGACTGTCTGCTGTTTGCCGAACGTGTCATAATTCCCAAGAAGCTACAACCAGCAGTGCTTGAACAATTGCATGCAGGACATCCTGGAATAAATCGCATGAAAGCACTAGCACGAAGTTATGTATACTGGCCGCATTTAGACACCCAACTGGAGAAGCTATCCCGTTCGTGTACCAAATGTGCATTAGCAACAAAAGCACCGCGAAAAGCAGAGCTGCAATCATGGCCAATACCACAGTCACCGTGGCAGCGTATACATTTGGACTTTGCTGGTCCACTTCATGGACAAACTTACCTTTTGGTGGTTGATGCATATAGCAAGTGGCCAGAAATTTTTCTCATGGAACACCCGACTGCAAGCTGCACAGTCAGTAAACTACGTCAACTATTCAGTCGTTTTGGAATCCCGGAATTGATAGTTAGTGACAACGGAACACAGTTTACGTCCGAAATCTTCTCACAATTTTGTCGGCAGAACGGAATCCAGCACATCCGAACACCTCCATACCATCCCCAATCAAATGGCCAAGTGGAACGCTTTGTGAGTACATTTAAAAATGCTCTAAAAAAATCCAAAGGGGAAGGGACCACTGAAGATATCTTAGAGAGGTTCCTGTTTATTTATCGTTCTACACCGAACCCTCAGACAATTAACGGGCTCTCTCCAGCAGAAGCTCTACTTGGCAGAAAGATACGTACACATTTCGATGTCATCCGTCCTACGCCAGCTATTGAACCCCAACGAAACCTATCGATGGAGAAACAGTTTAACCGACATCAGGGGGCACAAAGACGATTGTTCACTGTGGGACAAAAAGTGCTTGCTATGGACTATCGTGGGAAACATCCTATATGGACAGCTGGTCGGATCTTGAAAAAGAAGGGGAGTGTGGTTTACGAGGTGTCAGTTGGCTCGGAAGTTTGGGTACGTCATGCTAACCAATTGAAAGCAACCTCGATAGCCAGCAACAAGATTCAATATCGATTACCTCTTGATGTTCTGCTAGACACCTTTGAAATCAAAACGCCGGGAATAGACACATCAGTTTCTGTGCAAGAAAAGAGTGATACTTCTTTACTGCCTAGACGATGGACTAATCGAAAGCACAGGCCAGTCACTCGGTTGCAGTTGGACCCTAGCACCAGATCCTACGAATCTGCTCAGAGGGGAGGTGTTAGCGGGACATAGACTAGATTAAAGCATGCTCAATGCATGATTGCTTTGCTGCACGCTGATTGGCTGATTCTTATCCAATCAGCACCAGTCGATAGTCGGAGAATATTCTGGAATCTTCTTATGTAAAAAACTATAAATATACTGACGTTTTTCCCTATTATGCTTCTGATTTGCTATTTGGAATATAATCTTTTTCCTGTTCAACCGTGTTTTGATTTGGGGACTTGTCGAGTGAATCGGTGTCCGAGAATACTAAGCAATAGGAATAGCTGGGTCATTAACCGTAAGAAACAGAGTTATAACAGGTATGATAGCGAACAAATGGAAATATGAGCATTTTACACCTACTGTAATATTCAAAACATTCGCCTGTAGCTCTTCTCGAGTTACTGCCGGTCCCAAGCCCGGGTAAAGGAGGGTTGGGCATGGGGTTAGCGACCCCATCCCTTAGAAAACTAACTCGCTAAAAAAACGCTAATCAGTAAAAATAATTCAAACCATTTCAACTCTGCCCTGGGAGTTAGAAGGTCTTCATTTAGAAGAACTATGACGCCTCATGGTGAAAGTCGAGTTCCTTCGGAAGCCACGAGGTCGATGCCCCTCCTAACAACCAGAGCAACAATTTTTATAGGTACAAGGAACGTCCGGACAATGTGGGAGACCAGGAAGATCAGTCAAATAGCAACGGAAATGAGGAGATACAACTTGGCAGTACTGGGAATCAGCAAAACCCATTGGACCCAAGCTGGACAACAAAGGCTAAATACGGGAGAGATGCTGCTGTACTCCGGCCACGAAGAGGAAAATGCTTCATACACTCAGGGAGTTGCTCTAATGCTGTCCAAAGTAGCACGAAATGCACTTGTAGGATAGGAATCTCACGGATCCGGAATCATCAAAGCATCATTCAGAACAAAGAAGGAGGGGATCACAATGAATATTATCCAATGTTATGCACCCACTAATGATAGCAACGACGACATTAAAGATCATTTCTATGAGAGGCTGCAATCAATCATAGAGAAGTGCCCAACAAAGGACTTCACCATTCTGATGGGAGATCTAAACGCCAAAGTCGGAGTAGACAACACCGGATATGAAGATACCATGGGACGACATGGACTGACTGGGAGAGAGAAACGAAAATGGGGAAAGGTTTGCAAATCTGTGTGCATTCAACAAATTGGTCATAGGAGGCACAATATTTCCACACAAACGTATACACAAAGCTACATGGATCTCACCGGACCACACCACAGAGAACCAGATAGATCATATTTGCATCAATAAAAAGTTCCGAAGGACAATGGAAGATGTGAGAACCAGGAGAGGAGCTGACATAGCTTCAGATCACTACCTAGTTGTGGCCAATTTAAAACCGAAGCTTAAGAAGAACTGGACAAACAGCACTACAAAGGTTCAATACAGCCTTCCTTCGAGATACCGACAAACTCAATGAATTCAAGATAGCTCTCAACAACAGGTTCCAAACCTTACAGGATCTACTGAAAGAAGGAGAAACTACTATGGAGGACAACTGGGAAGGTATCAAAGAAGCATTAACTTCAACGTGTCAAAAGGTTCTGGGCCTCAAGAAGCATCATCATAAGGAATGGATCTCTATAGAAACACTGGACAGGATCAAAGAAAGGAAGAACAAGAAGACAGCAATTAACAACAGCCGAACACAAGCAGAGAAAGTTCAAGCACAAGCTGAGTACATAGAAGCAAACAAGCAAGTGAAGAAGAGCATTAAAGCCGACAAGCAGAAATACGTGGAAGAACTAACAACGACGGCGGAAAAAGCTGCAAGAGAAGGAAATATGAAACAGCTTTACGATACAACGAAGAAACTAGCAGGGAAATATAGTAAACAAGAGAGACCGGTCAAGGACAAAGAAGGCAGGCCAATCACTGAAATTCAACAACAGTGGGACAGATGGGTAGAGTACTTCGAAGAACTCCTGAATAGGCCGGCTCCAATGAATCCACCGGACATCGAAGCAGCACACACAAATCTTCCTATAGTTGACAATCCACCAACGGCGAAAGAAATCAGAATGGCCATCAGACAAATCAAGAGCGGGAAAGCAGCAGGACCCGACAATATACCAGCTGAAGTCAAACGTCGAAGTAACTACAAACATGCTTTACCTTCTATTCAAAAAGATTTGGGGGGAGGAACAAGTGCCGATGGACTGGAAAGAAGGACACCCCATCAACGTCCCAAAGTAAGGAGATCTGAGCAAATGTGAAAACTACAGAGGCATTACACTACTGTCAATACCGGGGAAAGTCTTCAACAGAGTGTTGCTGAACCGGATGGAAGACGCAGTAGAAACCCAACTTCGAGATCAACAAGCTGGATTCCGTAGGGATCGGTCGTGCACAGACGAAATTGCGACACTACGGATCATCGTCGAATAATCAGTTGAGTAGAACTCGTCACTGTACGTCAACTCCATTGATTATGAAAAGGCATTCGACAGTGTAGATAGGAGGACGTTATGGAAACTTCTTCGACACTACGGAGTTCCTGAGAAGATTGTCAACGTTATCCGGAACTCATACGACGGACTACAGTGCAAAGTAGTGCATGGAGGACAGGTGACAGATGCATTCCAAGTAAGGACCGGAGTCAGACAAGACTCTCTACTCTTTCCCTTTCTCTTTGTTCTGGTGGTCGACTGGATTATGAAGACATCTGAGGAGAAACACGGAGTACAATGGACAGCTCAGAATCAATTAGACGATTTGGACTTCGCAGATAACCTAGCCCTCCTATCGCATACACATGAACGAATCCAGATAAAGACAGCCAGTGTAGCAGCAGTCTCTGCATCAGTAGGCCTCAACATACACAAGGGGTAAACCAAGGTTCTCAAATACAACACGGAGAACAGCAATCCAATTACTCTTGATGGCGAAACTCTGGAAGATGTAGAATCCTTCACATATTTGGGAAGCATCACCGATGGACAAGGAGGTTCAGATGCAGACGTAAAGGCGAGGTTTGGCAAAGCAAGGGCCGCATCCCTGCAATCGAAGAACATATGGAACTCAAAACAACTTTCAACCAATATCAAAGTCACAATCCTCAATACGAACGTCAAGACAGTCAGTTCTACTGTACGGAGCTGAAACTTCGAGAACTACAACAACCACCATCAAGAAGGTACAAGTATTTATAAATGGTTGTCTACGCAAGATACTCAACATTCATTGGTCGGATACCATCAGCAACAGCCTTTTGTGGGAGAGAACAAACCAGCTTCCAGTTGAAGAAGAAATTAGGAAAAGACGATGGAAATGGATAGGACATACATCACGCAAATCATCAAACTGCATCACGAGGCAAGCTCTAACTTGGAATCCTGAAGGAAAGCGGAAAAGAGGAAGGTCAAAGAACACACTACGTCGGGAAATAGAAGCAGATATGAAAAGGATGAATAACAACTGAAAGGAGCTGGAAAGGATTGCCCAGGACAGGGATGGATGGAGAATGCTGGTGAGCGGCCTATGCTCCTTCACGAGGAGTAACAGGCGTTAATAAGTAAGTAATATTTAAATGTTTAACGTTTAACACTGTTTATCGTTATCAATTAGTACACTGAGAACTGCACTCATCTTTTTATTACTTTAGTGAAATTCCGGGTTACATTGGACATCTCTTTCTTGGTGGTCTTACGGTGCCATCTGCCAAGCTTGCACACGTTAGTTCACGTGATAAAGTTTTAGACGGAAAAATCGTAGAATGTATATGCGTTCCTGGTGTCGGTTGGAAAGTTCTACGTGTGCGCACTGACAAGACAGAGCCGAACTATCACAAATCAGGAGTCGGTAAGTTTTGATTATTGAGTTTTTGATATTTTATGAACGTTTAAAATCAAATAAAATATACACTCGATTGTCAAATAGGTTGTATATCTAGATGATTTAAAATAAAAATGATGTATTTTAGATTGATCAAATTGTAAAAGTTTAGCTCAAGAGAAAACAGTGCGATATAGGTCTATAGCCTTATCGATCGACTTGTCATTCATACCTTAGATCAAACCGTTGCCTATATCATTACTTGCTAATTGGTTCCACGATACGTAAACAGTGCTTTGGAGACACTTATGATCAAATACTTGCAACGTACGCATTCATTCCACTTCTCACCTATTTGAGCCACTTGGTGTGAATGCTAGTGATGTCTACAGATATAAGTAGTATGTATCATCAATCGGAAGTAAAATGCGTTGCGGCAGGTTAACAAGATCGTAGAAAAGAGAATGATTAGTGTGAAAACGAAGGAACAATAAAATCTGAGACGATTGATTGGTATTTTGCAAATGAAGTATTTACTGTATGGTTCTCAGGTTTTCCTAAGAGATTCGGTCGTCTCCACTGGTGTTCTCGTTCACTGCAATGTCACCCAGCCTCCTAAACTGAAGTAGGTGGTACAGAGCTAATCGAAAGCTGAATACTTCAATCAGTAAACAATTGCTTCAGAATTTACTTCCAAACATCATTTTTTATAGATGTATATCAATACAGATTCGCTTGATGCACAGTATACTTGTTTTTTGGTAGACTAGAACATCCTACTTATACTAGGACGAAACGGTCGTCCGGTGCTTCCAGGTTTTCAATACTGGTCTAGCTTAGATCGACTCATTCAGTTTTCTCAATTTGTCAAAAATCAAGTGGCTTTAACCATAGTGATTTTGTCACCCACCGGGACTTTCGAAATAAGAGAAATGACCAACAAAATCACTTCAACAGTTATGAAAAAATACTTGAGAAACACAAAGATGAATATGTACTTGAATTTTTAGCCGTACTCACAGCTAATGTGACCACTATAGTACTAATTGTTAGTTTCTGAGAAATCGTAACTTTCTTTTACACGAATGATGACAGAGAAACCAATATCTTCGCAAACGACTGTACCTTGGTAATACTAAGTTTTACGGGCTCTCCACAATTAAATTATACGTACTCCGAACGGTAAGACTAAGCATCATATCGAAGAAGAATAGGTGGCTGTCTAGTTCAGTCATCTAATAGCTACACAATAAAAAGGTAATAATTCTTTTGACAACTGCATGGGGCTATTTAAGAATGTTAATAAACAGTAACCATGTTTTATATTTTATGCTAGCCATTATTGAAAGTATCATGTATCCTGTAACAGCTGAGCAGCTGGTTATGTGTGTTCGACAACGTCAGAACAAGACAAATCCACAACAACAAGCCTCTTCTTCTCGAGAACCTACTGCATCACATCACAAATAATGATCTCATGGTCTAGAAATTATAACCACCTAACTTGTTTGTAAAAATTGCATGATTATCAGTCGGTTTAGTACAGTATTTTCTTTCTGAATTCAATATGAATATCGTTCATGTAAATATGAGAATTTTGTAAAAAATAATTTGTGTATAAGAACTGTCGTTTATATCTTGTTATATTTTCTGTCAAGTACATTTTAAAAACTTTATAATCTGTTTAATAGAATGGAACCGAAAAGTGGTTAAAAAAACATCCATATTTTTCATAGTTAATAATATCATATGGCTGATCTGGGGATGTACACGCTTGCTTTAGTGGTTCCTGTTGAGGAAACTGGATTCACTGAGGCCATTATTAAAGAGGTTACATCCAGACGAATACGGTAAGCTCCAACAAGAACAACTGAATCATATGATGCACTCTGAAACAAATCAACCAAACCAATGGATATAGTTCCTATTTAATATAGACATTACGCTTTATCTTGTACAATGTGCTTTGTTATAATCCTAGTTTGTTTAAAAAGTAAAAAGAATATATTCGCCTAAAGAACCCGTATTACAGTCAGTTCCTTTGAATCTTAGTCCAAGCACCACATACAAATTACAAGTACTTGGGTATCAAGTGAGGCAATAATATGTTTGATGAACACTGTTCCTACCATTTGTATAATTGAAGCTACAAGTCATCAGATGTAACGATAACGACAAGAAGTGATGATCCACTTATTTATATTGCTACTTAACGGCTACTGAGCGCAATCATGTTTCATTATGTTTCGACATTTTTAAGTTGTGCATGCACTGACCTCAGCTTAATGGTGGATACGTTACCGAATGAAGAGGTATATTCATCTAGACAGCCAGTTTTTTGCACGTTGCTTACTTCACGCTTAAAATCAGCTCAGCCACACAACATTTGCTATAAATTACCATGAAATAGGACTCATTATACTAAAATAGAAACATAGTGAATATCAACATGTCTAAAAAAGCATACCTGAGCTGTTTCACCAATTGATTGGTCTTGGTGACGTAGCTCTAGGCAGAGAGTATTGAGTCCACCACTCCTAATTACTGTAGATACTGAATATACGCAAATACCAGAATACTCAGAAGACAAGGGAATCACAGTACAGTGTTTTTTCGTTCCATTAAAGCTCAATGATAATGATTCCATGGGAGGTCCAGTGAGCCAGCAAGAGACATGATTGTCCTATTGATAAAAACGTCAAAAGTAAAGCATGCATATATGTAATCTAATTAGAACTTTTCGATATTATTCAAATAGTTGAATACGGCTATTCTAAACCGATCGGCGTATGCAAGTTGAATGTGAGCGAATAGTAGTTAGAAACTACTATATATAGAACCCTATATACCCTGGTACAGTCGAGGTGGGGAGAGTTTCCCGTCACTCTCGAAATACTCTCATAAGAAAAAGATACCCGCAAACTAATTTGCAATCATTTGGTAACATTCATTTCCATTTTATATAGCGTCATTCATATGTTCCCATTTTGTGTATTTTATTTTTCAATTTGCCCGACCGTAGCTGCTACCTTGACACGGTGGTCGGGCTTGCCTATCGTCATGACCCAACCGAGCTATATTGGCTGGAACATCTTCCTGTAGGTTCTACCATGCCAGGCAGGTCGATTGGAGGACGGTAAGACTAAAGGCAGCAAGTCAGTTTCTGAGGGCGAAGTCGTACTGCTGACTGTAGAGGGGTGTGACAGCAGTAAGGTGTTTCCCTCAGACAACCAGCATCTGCAGCGATGCTGCCTTCCCACAAGGAGGGGTGGGGTTAGAAAAGGTCGATCCTAAAAATGTCACACCTCACCTTACCTCACGGATTTCCGTCTCCGGCGGTACGGCCCTTTGAAGAAAGGAGCTAACACATTAAAAACCTTCCACGAAAAGGCCGTGCGCGACCGGCCTCAAGCAGTTGTCCCTTGGGCTCTGCGGTCACGCTCCCAGGTCGTTAAGACCAACACTAATCCAATTTCTTTTTCAGGTTCCTCAAGAAATACCCTTCCACGGTGTGGACAGCCGGGAAGTGATATCAGCCCTCATACCCGTAACAGCACACGAGACCAAGTTGGTCACATTCAAATCCTTCCTACACCTCCTAATACCTCTCTTATCTCCACGGCTAATACTCCTCACGTCTCTTTATCACCTCGCACCGCTAGGGCAAATGATTCGAGTACGCGGAACGCTATTCCTGGTCTCCTGAAACTACACGTAGGAGCTTTTAACGTCCGAACACTGTGCCAAATAGGACAGCAGGCTTCCTTAGCTAGGACTTTAGAATCCCGCGCCATCGATGTGTGCTGCGTCTCCGAAACCTGCATACAGGATCCGAGTAGCGGTATCCATTTGACCTCACCATGCCAAAATAAAGAACCGACTCGACTCATACTCCGTGTATCTGGAAGCCCTGATTCTGCTTCCCGTGGCCTCGCCGGCGTAGGCATAGCTTTGAGTCCTAGGGCGGAACTAGCTCTCTTAGAGTGGATCCCAGAAGACAGTCGTTTGTGCGCTGTCCGACTAAACGGAACAGTAAGGACTCGGAAAGATGGGGACACTCGTCGTCTCTGCCTATTCTCCCACTGACTGCAGCTCAGATGATGTAAAAGATGAGTTGTACAGAAAGCTCTCCTATCTTCTCCGAAAAGCTAGGCGCTCGGATGTAGTAATAGTGGCCGGTGACTTTAATGCTCAAGTAGGTAAACTAAGCGATAGGGAAAGACACCTGGGTGGATCTTATAGCATCATGGCTCAAAAAACAGATGATGGCGACCGTCTGTTGCAGCTATGCTCAGATAACCGCCCGTTTCTTGCTAATACTAACTTTAAGCATAAGGAAAAACATCTTTTAACATGGCGACCACCTAATTCGTCCCAACGTTGGACCCAAATAGATCACATCGCCATCAGCCACCGATCGAGGGACTCGATAGAAGACTGTCGCTCATTCTGGAGCACATGCTTAAATTCAGATCATGCTCTAGTACGAGCGCGTATTTGCCTGCGTCTTACTGGACGTAGGAAAGACGCTGCAAGGAAACCTCTTAGGAGCCTACTTAATGATAGTCAAGCTAAGAGTATATTTCAGGAACAAATAGAAAACCGGTTAGGCAGCCATGTATGTGATGCCCATCCCGAGGCAGCATGGAATGATATCCGAAAAGCTGTGGAAACAGCAGTGATATCTGCTAGTAAGGTAAACCACAAGGTTAGGGAGCAACACTGGATCTCAGCAGCATCTATCGCACTGATAGATGCTCGAAAACTCATTCCACCTGGCTCTGAACATAATGAAGAGCGGAGTCAGCTTAAGCGCAAGCTGACAAGAAGTCTACGCAATAATCGTGAACAGTGGTGGGTAGCGAAAACAAGAGAGGTGGAAAAGGCAGCGGCAATAGTTAACAGCAGACAATTGTTCAGACTTGTTAAGGAAACCGTTATTAGGAACCCGACTGTTAGCGAAACCCTCCCAGAGAAAGATGGACATATTATACATTCTCAATCCAGGAGATTGGATCGATGGGCAGGACACTTTAGGGATCAGTTCAACTGGCCTTCAGCCATACTTCGGCTTCCCACGATCTCCAGTTAACCTGAATGGCAAGTCAATGTAGGTCCTCCGACTCTACGAAGTTGAAAAAGCAATAGGAAATCTGAAGCGAGGGAGACCAGCAGGCCCGTATAGGTTTACTCCTGAAATTTTTAAGGATGGTGGTCCAGTATTAGCAGTGGGATTAACTGAGGTTTTAGGTAGAATTCGGGAACTGGACGTAATCCCAACTGACTGGTCTCAATCACTGACTGTGCCAGTCTATAAGAAAGGACAAAAGTCCTCTTGTGACAATCATAGAGGAATCAGTTTGACTAATGTAGTGTCTAAAATATTTGCTTCAATAATGCTTCGACGCCTAACTAAAGCTCGTGACGAGAAGACTGGAGAAAACTAGGCTGGTTTTCGACCTGGACGTGGTTGTATAGACCAGATATTCACACTACGTCAGGTTCTACCACACTGACACGTTCAGACGCCCCACAGTCGTAGTATTTCTCGACCTTAAAGCAGCATATGACTCTGTTGATCGTAAGGTTCTACGGCAGTGTTTGTCATTGAAAGGAGCACCAAAGAAGTACATTAACCTTGTAAGGGTTCTCTACTCGAACACAACTGGTCGAGTGAGAGCTTGTGGCGAACTGTCATCAGAATTGATTACCTCAAATGGTGTTCGTCATCGCTGTTCACTCTATCCAATTTTATATAGCTTTGTCGTTGACGTGCTTCTAGAGATAACACTTTCCTCATCTAAATTTCCAGGAGTTGAACTTTCACTGGGAGTAAATAAAAATAATATATTTGTAATATCCCAATGAGTAGAAAATTGGATTTTCTGACGTTTCGTGGCTTAGTGTAAGTCACTTCTTCAGAGAATAAATAACCAAATTTTTATTTATAACAATCAACCCAATGCTCAATTTATTCGAAATTATCAAACCAAACCTTGGTAATGACACCTACAATTTCACTGGGAGATTCACTTGTTGACTTAGAATATGCTGATGACATAGTTTTATTTGGTGAAAACGCTGACAAAATGCAGAGTTTTCTGATCACCGTAAGCAACAATGCAAGCATGTTCGGCATGCGATTCTCTTCCTCGAAATGCAAAATGTTGCTTCAGGATTGAGTTGCATCGACACCCGAACTAATGATAGGGAGTGAAGTAGTTGAGCGTGTCGACCGCTTCACTAATCTGGGAAGTCTCATCAGCCCTTGTGGTCTGGTGTGTGACGAAATGTCAGCACGGATACAGAAGGCTCGACTAGCTTTTACCAACTTGCGTCATTTATGGCGTAGGCGAGATATCCGTCTATCAACCAAAGGACGAGTTTACTGCGCAGCAGTTCGTTCCGTCCTAGTTTATGGCAGTGAAACATGGCTGGTCAGAGTAGAGGATATCCGTAGGTTACTAGTATTTGATCATAGGTGTCTTCGAAATATTGCTCGTATATCCTGGGACCATCGAGTAAGTAACGCAGTTGTTAGGAAACGGGTACTAGGCATGGATGGCAAATCAATTGATGAAGTGGTGAAACTTCATCAGTTGAGATGGCTGGGACACGTGTTACGTATGCCCAACAACCGACTGCCCCGACGAGCGATGTTTTGTTGCATAGGAGTAGATTGGAAGAAAGGTAGGGGCGGCCAGACTAAAACGTGGCTCAAGTCCATGAAGTCACTGACAAGTGGACTGAGCCATGTTGGTAGGTGTAGACTACCTGGTTGGGGACCGCTAGATGACAGCAACCGATGGTTGGAGACCCTGAGTGACATGGCTCAAAATCGTTTGCAGTGACGCAGGTGCATCTGCAGTGAATCGAACACGAGTGGGGACAATCGAATGTGTTTGAAAATATTACAGGACTTGTTAGTAAAATCTAACAATCATAAAGTAAATGCTTAATTTGCAAGATGTCTACCAATTGTCTCAAAATGAATCAGACTCCATTGTTCTTAGAATTTCATGCAAATTGCATCCTGTTTTCATTCTTTACTGTTCGATCCTTTGCCAGATCTTCTGTTCATGACTAGCATCATATGCTACTCATGTCAAAATAAGTAGCACACATCCACTCTTTGTGTTCTCCCAAACTCTAATCTTCTGAATTCTCCATGTCCCTTTTTCCTCGTTCCAAATTTATTTCACTAGATTATACGCCTTGAATAACATCTTCAAACCCTAATCTTTCCGATTACTGCTTACGTTTTACTACCTCTACCACTATGGCATTTGAATGGACAACTATATCTCTGTGCTAACGTGGTATGGCAACTCGAACTGATGTACTTACGTACAAAGTTCTACGTTGTTACTGACTGACCGACTGATTTTTCAATTTACACAGCAGCTTACATATGGTAGAAACCCTGTCCTCTATAAACGATCTCAAGTCACTGACTGGTCGAAAGTTGAATGCCACCGCCGAACACAAACACTGAAACAGTCTTTCTGAAACCACGTATACCATTCGAACTGGCCGTCTTTTACGTTTTCACACTGATCGAACAGCAGATAAGGTTGACTATGTCTTTAGAAAGTCAATATCAATGTCTGTTGTCTATTCGAGACCATATTCAAACTCTAGTGAAGCACTACAAATTCGCTCTCTATCTGTCGCTTCAAAAAGCTTGTTTCACATGCATTTATCTGGACACCCTGTGGCATCTTCGTCTGGTTCTGCTGGTGTTGGTATCTCACTAAGCACTAGTGCTGAATTAGCACTGAACGACTGGATCGTTATTAATAGTCAGTTATGTGCTATTAAATTAAAAAGTTCCATCAAAGTGATAAGACATCGGTACGAGGAACGATAGAATTTCGTCACATCCGCCTACACTCTGACAGATCGCAGCTCGAATGCTATGAAGAATGAGTTTTACCACCAATTAACTGTTCTACAGAAAGCACATTCGACGGATATTGTGGTGCTCGACGGGGACTTGAATGCTCAGGTCGGGCGGCTAGGCACAGAAAAGAGTCGTTTAGGTGGCCGATGGAAACTTGTTAGTTAGGTCATATAACGATGACCGTCTACTGCAACTGTGCGCATACTACCTGTTTCTGGTTAGCACTAACTACCGGCACAGCCATCGCCGACGTGCTACCTGGCCCCCCTACCTCTCCATCTCAAGTCTGATTACATTCCGACCAGCTGCCACTAACGTCGTTATGTACAAAACTGCCGCTCCTTCTAAAGTACTTGTCTAGACGCTGACCATGCTCTTGTTTGCGCCCAATATAGCTTTCTCCACAGGAGCAGCTGAATTCGCAGATACACACAGAAGTGGCATCATAAGCAAGCCAGACGAAGGAGGGGGGCTAGTTCTTATGAACAAAGCTGATTACATTAATAAAATGAACATGATTTTGAATGATCCGAGAAAACACTTGTGGGTACAAGAAAATAGTGACTCTGATGGCCAATAAGAAACTGCTTTTCTTGAAGTTGCAATTCAATGGTGATTTAGCTAGCGATGTATTAGGGGTTAGATTGACTAGAGCAGTAAAGAAAATGTTTAATGCTGCCAACCTCTGCGTATCGTATTCGACCCGATCGATGGTGATTCCGCAATTGAAGGATAAGTTACCTGGTTATGCCACTTCTATGTGTATCTGCGAATTCAGCTGCTCCTATGGAGAAAGCTATATTGGGCGCACTACCAGGCAACTGAACCAACGAGTTAGTGAACACCTCCCTTCGTGGTTAGGAAAACGTTACGTCAAAACAATACGCAGCTCAGTTCTATCACACTTGATCGATAGCGGTCATATAGTGGACAGAAACAAGTCGTTCAAAGTTATTTATCGTATTCCCACTAGTTTTCCTTATGGTGTTCGATCTCGTCTCTTACGCATAGCAGAAGCTATAGGAATCCGAGCCAACAAGCCAAGTCTTTGTGTTCAGAAGAAATTTGTAACACCTTTATCTCTCCCCTGGCCTTAAGTAATAAATGAATTTATTTATTCTTTTTCTAACTCTCTCATCGTTTATTATTTTTCTTCACCTCCTCCTACCACTTTATTTTCTCTCAACTATACGTTTCATGGTCCAATTATCTGAACATTTCTTATTACGTTATCTTATAATTTTATAATTGTTATCTCAGTTTCTATATTTTTCAAATCATTGACCTATTTCCGATTATGTAACATTGGTTTGAACCTTTATTATTCTTATCAAAACTAATGCACCTGTTGTCACACCATCAATTTGTACTTTTCACGTTTCACTTATTATGTAATCGTTTTCATTGTTATCATTGACTTATAAACTACCTTGATTGGTTTAATAATTTCGTGTATGCATATAATATTACTGTATATTAGAGTAAAGCCTGATGAGGATCTAATCGAAAACAATATTGTTTACTTATATATGTTGTTCTAAATTTACAATATGGGAATATTTCAAACTGCCCATCGTCCAAACCATCAGATGTTATTGTTTGGCATATCATCGGCTTCTCACACACCAGGACTCTCACTGCCAGTGACTCGGATGAGTTGGAAGAGTTTCCGGCAGTCACCAGATGCGGCTGCTACCTCCAATTCATCGGCACACTCGGACCACCAGGATTATCGGTCCTTTTCCCAATTTCATTTCGTAACAGTCTTCATGTACGGTCAAACTCGTGGTTGGCCGGAGTAGACAGACGGGCTTCAATGAGTTGTAAGGAGCCTGTAGAAATCCAGTGCTTATAAGCGGGACATTTCGCGAAGCCGCAAGCGACTTTACTCTCCATTTTCATAGCGTCATGTAATTGCAACCAATGCTCATCTATATTTTTCAGTGGGTTGATAGCTAGCCTTGAACCTAGCTCGGTTTGATATTTAGTTACAACAGAAGCTGCAACCAATTCGCTGACATCGATCCGTTTAGGATGATGAATTTATTGGCCATTGAAGTGTAAGGTAAGGTTAGCACAAACAAGAGCATGGTCAGCGTCTAGACAAGTACTTTAGAAGGAGCGGCAGTTTTGTACATAACGACGTTAGTGGCAGCTGGTCGGAATGTAATCAGACTTGAGATGGAGAGGTAGGGGGGCCAGGTAGCACGTCGGCGATGGCTGTGCCGGTAGTTAGTGCTAACCAGAAACAGGTAGTATGCGCACAGTTGCAGTAGACGGTCATCGTTATATGACCTAACTAACAAGTTTCCATCGGCCACCTAAACGACTCTTTTCTGTGCCTAGCCGCCTGACCTGAGCATTCAAGTCCCCGTCGAGCACCACAATATCCGTCGAATGTGCTTTCTGTAGAACAGTTAATTGGTGGTAAAACTCATTCTTCATAGCATTCGAGCTGCGATCTGTCAGAGTGTAGGCGGATGTGACGAAATTCTATCGTTCCTCGTACCGATGTCTTATCACTTTGATGGAACTTTTTAATTTAATAGCACATAACTGACTATTAATAACGATCCAGTCGTTCAGTGCTACTTCAGCACTCCCTGGTTGGGCTTCAAGAGATAATGCAACAAATTGGTTTGAGACGTTATCAGACAGGTCAGAATGGAAGCAAGTAACGATCTTGGCATAACTTTCTACAAAAAAGTCAGAGGATCTTCTTTGACTTAAAAAGTTCCTTGTGGTTGTATTTTTAATAACGGAACTGCTTCTTCTATTACTTTTCACTTTCATTCACTTATTGTATGTATTTACGATACTTACCTTTATTTCTTCACAATCTTATTTTCTTATTGTGTTGCATATTTGTGCTTAAATAATGATTATAGTAATAACTTGACAGGTAGGTTGTTTGATCATTTTCGACGTCTATATCAGTTATGCAGTTTAATAAAGGATAACAGTGTAGAATATAGAAATAAGCGAAAAGGAATCAGTGCTATGAAAAAAAGTCCCAGAGATAAAAGTCACATACTGTGGCTTAGATAATGACAGACATGGTACGTACTAATGTTAAATAGAGTTTTAAACAAAATTATTGGTGATGCAGCAATGAGTAGTTGCTTCATTGTGACTGTTTTTTACTGTCTTGTCCATTTTGATCTATTATTTTAGGCTGTTGTGTGTAAGCAATATTAACACCACAAACGAGAAAATCTAACTATTGTACTGTCGGTACTAATTCTAATAAAGTTATCTGAGAACTTAATAGTTCAAGGGTATAAAAACGGCTATTTGTGTTTGGAAAACTACTATATTAGTTAGTAGTAGACAACAGGCGTTACACGCGTCCATAATTGGATGTTGAAAATATGTATGTTGAAAACACATTTGTAATAAAATAATCACTTATTACTTACTTTGAATGCAAAAGTAAAAAAATTTAATGATATTACACAAAACGTACTGATAACTGCGCTCGAATCACATATACGAATATCAGTTCGTCAGACGGTGTCGATCCACTGGAAGATTCTTTATTTCCCATTTGTACACTGCGTGAGCCATACCCAGGAGGTGTTTTAAAGTACAAAACAAAGCGACTAAGCTCTTCTGAAGAGAAGATTTGAACAGGAAACAAACTCAAAGACATTGTCTCTGGTAAATGTCCTGGTTCTATCAAAGTCAAATGATTTGGTAGAGTCGTTGCTACTATTTCAGCAACAGCTTTGTCAATCCTAAACAAAGTAGTTTCATATTATTAAGGGTAAATACTTAATACAGTTAAAATCGTCACTTATCAGTTAACTTGAATACCTAAAATGCCAAATGCTCCTGACGAAAACTATGGTTTGCAATGCATAAAAATACGTAAGACCTTAAAATAGTTATGGGAGGGTTTAAAACCAGGGTTTTAGCCACAATCAGATATGAATAATCTGGATAGATTTGGTTCGTTAATCGCATTTTGTTATTTGCAGCACAAATAATATCCTCTACAAGGACGGCTAAAACCCGGAATTTTGTCGCTCTTTCTGTCGATGCATTTTAGACTAATCATTTTACTTACTTCAGGACAACTGCTTTCAGGATGAAAGAGATTTTGATTCAATTTTTAAACGGTATATGCATGCTTCACAAGTAGCATAAGTTCTTACATGCATACTGGTATTGATACAAAGAACTTGTAACTACCTACAAAAATTATTCCAAACTTTAGTCATCTTAATGTTGGAAACAATTGTAATATAAGAAAACAAATACCAATCTAAAGTTAGATACTTACTCAACTGTTCTTTTTAAAATATCTTGTTCTATAACTGTTTGATGCATTTGGCGAGCTAAATGTAGTGGTGATACCACAAAAGTATGCCCATCAGATGGCATCGGATTCGGATTAGCTCCATGGCTTAAGAGAAATCGTGCACAATGAACCCATCCACGACGGGTAGCCTAAAAAGCGATGGAAAGATGGTTCGAATTATGCATATTTCAAAAAGATTTCCTAAGAATGAAAATAAGCAGATGGTTAACCCATAAAAACTTACACGGGTAAGAGCACATTCACCATGGCAATTAATAGTGTTGACTAACGCTCCTGCATCTAACAGCAGTGATAAAACAGTGAGATGACCCTGAATGGTTGAATTTTGAAGAAAAAGATTAGTTTTATGTGTTAAAAAAATACGTATTTGAGTAAAAGAACAAAGTTTCCAAGCTAAAATAACACATTTTACAGTGAAAAAGCGGACGCATGATACGCAGGACTTGCTCTTCCTACACCGTGGAAATCTTGTAGATTTCAGTGTTGCACAAATGTTGACAACGCTTTTGAGTTGTACTTGATAAGCAGATAATATTGGATTATATTAACGACAAACTCGACAGTAATCCTGAAATACTAGGTTAGAGCTACAATGAAGAGCTGATTTAAAATTAATACTTATCTTTTCTAAATGTGTAAATTACACCACACGCGATCAGTTCAAGTGACTCGAAAAGAGGAAATATGTGATTTTAATCAAGAATTTCACATCTCTTGTAGATTACAACAATTAACCCAATGTACAACTCAAACGGTAGCTCATCTACCAATTACCAGCGTACATTCTCGGCTCTGCGTTATGCTTTCTTATGTAGCCGAAATAGTTATACTAACCAGATGCGCAAACCTAAGTAGACGGAACTGAATCCGAACCTGTGAACTAACTCAAGAAAACCGAGCCCTTAAGACGGTTTACTATAGTTACTTCCTCACTAACTAATCAGTCTAGGATTAGATAAAATAGTGTACTGTTACGTGTCTCATGGCAAGAGTCAAAAAAAGTAAAAACAATCATAAAGGGAAGAGTCCCTTTCTGGGAATATGCTAATGTGTAAGAAATAAAGATGTTTACACTTCATAATCCATGTACTAGATCCTATTAAAAACCATCTTATGTGAGACTGCATATTTTGATTACCTCTCAAATTAGAGATAAATGAGAACAACGATTGTAATATGACACATCGTACAAAGCTACACCACAAAATATGGCAAGATTGTTCCAAATACATCATACACTTCAGTTAAAGCTTGATGCAATGAGCATAACAGATCATTCCAATGACTAATCACCTCAGAAGGCTAAATGCTGGTTTTGTCACTTATTCACGTATGCTTGTTAATTGAGGTCTTCTGCATAAATCAAGTGCGTGCATCATCAGTTGTTTTATAGAAATCTACTAATCATTAAAAATATTAATTCTCTATATTTTTTGTTTGGTTCGAATTCATATGATACAGCAATATAAAACATGAAAATCGAAGCACAAAATTCATCATTTCAAAATTATTAGGTGACAACACTTTTATTAGAATATGTTTAATAGACAAATAATTACAACAATGAGTAGAACGACATCCATTAGTGCTTTCTGTCATTGGTACGTCTAAACTTTGTGGTAATTCGCTAACTAGGTATGATGAACTCGTTATCAGTCATCAACATATGTACATAAATTAATGGCAGGCAGACTTATAATATCTAAACCACTTAACTAATCGGTTTATCCCACCTCACTTATCAAACAAATAATCTTCAACCTCGATTTCTCTCACTTAATATTTTTACCAATGCAGTAAGAATTCAAAAACCATAAGAATCAAAGCATCTAAGTAACTAAAGTTTGTATTCTATGATTACTTCACTGGCTGAATGTTCTCCAGTAAATCTAAACAAAAGTTCTCCGACCTCAACTTCACAAATATTGTGTAGCCACTGAATGCAAGCAATTTTACAAAGACTAAAAACCAGACAATTTCGTTGACTGTCTCCCGGTCTTGAAAGTTTCCTTAACTTTCTTGAGATCATGATATGTGTGATGACTGTGATACTACCTAAGTGTCAGAAACAATGAAAGTAGTTTTAAAAAGAATTAATATTCTCGAGTTTTTAATCTATAAATCTACGCTACGAAACAGTGAAGCCTGTCTACATTAATGGTTTAGAATAACGGTTTCAAATGGCCCTGTACAAACTTCTTATTGAACTGGTCAAATCAACGGACGCTCATTTTTGTATTAATACTTAGGTCAGGTAATTCGTTACATATGGGCAGTGAAATTCCTTGGCAGATGCTATAGAAACGTGGTTGTAAAACGCTCGTTAATGGATGGGATTTTTCTTCACTTTTTTGTAGTTAGGTGTTTAGGAACAATCTGAGACCCATTTGCAAAGGTATCGAATAATCTCTGGAACAATTATTGTAAGAGTTAAAAATACCTGACTTCATAAATCTGCTGAAAGTAAAAAAATCTTAACTTGAGGCAAAACTGAGGTCACAACCTCAATAGATTTTATGGAATCTTGACATCAAATCATTCAAGGACAAGCTGGAAATCAACCAACCAAAGGAATTATGCCCTTAATATGAATAAAGATCCTCAAGTTAATTTATAAACTGGCAAGATTGGATGTGACTATTTTCTTAACAGTTTGGTGTTAACTACGCTGTTTACTGGATTCTCAAACAAGAAATGTGTTAGACTGTGTTATGTCCTCTAAGTTGTGTGGTTTGGATGAGCTTTCATTGTTGTTCTGGATAACGCCATCAACACTTACTTCATATGAAATACGTAATCAAACCACTAACCCTAGAGAAGACAACCAAATTTATCCACTTGGACTAAAAATCTCTATTATTTCAATATAAAATGTTATAATGCGTATAGTGAGCGTCAGGGAAATAGGATACTAAGAAAAGTAATTGTCTTACACCATCAGCAGCATAAATTAAGGGTGTAGAACCATCAGTTGACCTTGCATTTGCTGATGCACCATGTCTGATAAGGAGACCAACAATATCCGTATAACCTAAGAAACATAAAGGTTTTAGACAGTAAGTAGACACAAGATAATACCTTACTTAAAGCACCATCAAAATACTTATATCATGAACTATTGGAAAATAATCAAACTTGCTTGAACTATACAGAACTACTGAAAACCAGTTATTTAACTGAAAGTTGATGAGTAAATACTATTAAATATAACTGGTGTACAATATCAACCAACAATTAACTTTTGAGAATTGCACAGTACCAAACTACCAGCATATTTCTGGTTAGTATATCAACATATCATTCTTACAAAAAAATAAGGACCTGATAGAATACATTGAAGTATAAGCAGAATAGAACAGAACCCTGCTAATTTACACGATTCATCAGTATCACAAGTCCGTTTTGAAAGAGAATAAATTATCCCTAATTAGTTTTTATCACGACTGGATATAAACATACAATTTATAATACGTAATTGTAAGTATGGAAAGTATAATGAACTAAGTAGCACATACCTTTCACAGCTGCCTTACAGATAACAGGCATATCAGTACCATGGTCAATTGGTGATATATGTGAAAATCTCAATAGTTTATAAACTCTATCGGAATCTCCAATAGAAACAGCATACCGCAGAAGTTTCACTATTACATAATATTAATTATCTATTAGCTTACTGCCATCGGATACTGCTACAGGTGTGCATTGTGTATTTCGCTGAAATGATGAGAAGAGTGGACATTGCGAAGTCAGCATCTGGAAAAATCTCTAAATTTTAAAAAGTCATATAACCCTAATAAACAATTGCTTATATTTTAGGTTCTCATTCTAGTTTTATTTACAAATATTTCATGGGCTGTGAGTTTTTTTATCTGACCATTTTGTCTTTGCAATGTTACTGAGACTTTACTTTGCGGTCATATATATATATTGTGAATGAGGACAACATAAATGAGCAAACAATATTGCTTTCAATTAGATCCTCATCAGGCTTTAATATACATTAATATTTGTATGCATATGTAGAACTATTGAGCCAACTAAGGCAGTTTATGAGTCAGTGATAACAGTGAAACAGATTACGTAAATAAACAACACTTAAAAATTAAAAATGATAGTGTGATAAAAAGTGTACTAGTTGTGATAAAAATAATAAAGGCTTTATATAGCTGTCTTTATCTACATTTAGACAACGTCAAATCATATTAAGCATCACTAAAATATCTTTATCACAGACGGTGAATTTATGTTTCTGACAGTTATAAAAACCAGTTATTCATTTGAAATCATTTGGTGAATCTGCACTAAACATCCAACGGTCCTGAACTTTGTCATCTAGTCTTAGTAGCTCAAACTAAGAGTTAATAATTGACAACTAGACATCATATTTTTAACTGATCCCACGTTGCGTGAGTTTTTTCCAATAACTAGTATCACATTCAGTCAGTCAGTCAGTATCAACGTAGAACTTCGTACGTACGTACATCAGTTCGAGTTGCCACACCACATTAGCACAGAGATGCAGTTGTCCATTCAAATCCCATAGTGGTAGAGGTAGCAAGAGTATAAGCAGTAATCGGGAAGATTAGGGTTTGGAGATGTTATTTATAGAGTATAATCCAGTGAAATAAATTTGGAAAGAGGAAAAAAGGGACATGAAGAATTCAGAAGATTAGAATTTGAGAGAACACAGAGAGTGGATGCACCTGCGCCATTGCAAACGATTTTGAGCCATGTCATTCAGGGTCTCTAACCATCGGTTGCTATCATCTCGCGGTCCCCAACCAGGTAGTCTACACCTACCAACATGACTCAGTTCACTTGTCAGTGACTTCATGGACTTGTGCCATGTTTTGGTTTGGCCGCCCCTAGCTTTCTTCCAACCTACTCCTATACCACTGAACATAGCACGTCGAGGCAGTCGGTCGTTGGGCATACGTAACACGTGTCCCAGCCATCTCAACTGATGAAGTTTCACTACGTCATCAATTGATTTGCCATCCTTACCTAGTACCCGTTTTCTAACAACTGTGTTACTTAATCGATGGTCCCATGATATACGAGCAATGTTTCGAAGACACCTATGATCAAATACTAGTAGCCTACGGATATCCTCTACTCTTACCGGCCATGTTTCACTGCCATAAAGTAGGACGGAACGAACTGCTGCACAGTAAACACGTCCTTTGGTTGATAGACGGATATCTCGCCTACGCCATAAATGACGCAAGTTGGCAAAAGCTAGTCGAGCCTTCTGTATCCGTGCTGAGATTTCGTCACACACCAGACCACAAGGGCTGATCAGACTTCCAAGATAAGTGAAGCGGTCGACACACTCAACTACTTCACTCCCTATCACTAGTTCGGGTGTCGATGTAACCCAATCCTGAAGCAACATTTTGCATTTCGAGGGAGAGAATCTCATCCCGAACATGCTTGCATTGTTGCTTAGAGTGGTCAGAAGACTCTGCATTTTGTCAGCGTCTTCACCAAATAAAACTATGTCATCAGCATATTCTAAGTCAACAAGTGAACCTCCCGGTAGAAGTTCAACCCCTGGAAATCTAGATGAGGAAAGTGTTATCTCTAAAAGCACGTCGACCACAAAGTTGAACAAGAATGGGGAGAGTGGACAGCCCTGACGAACACCACTTGAGGTAATCAATTCTGATGACAGTTCGCCATAAGCTCTCACTCTACCAGTTGTGTTCGAGTAGAGAGCCTTTATAAGGTTAATGTACTTCTTTGGTACTCCTTTCAGTGACAAACACTGCCATAGAACCTCACGATCAACAGAGTCGAATGCCGCCTTAAGGTCGAGAAATACTACCATTGTGGGGCGTCTGAATGTGTGTCTGTGTTCTAGAACCTGACGTAGTGTGAATATCTGATCTATACAACCACGTCCAGGTCGAAAACCAGCCTGGTTTTCTCTAGTCTGCTCTTCACGAGCTTTGATTAGGCGTCGAAGTATTATTGAAGCTAATATTTTAGACACTATATTAGTCAAACTGATTCCTCTGTGATTGTCACAAGAGGACTTTTGTCCTTTCTTATAGACTGGCACAATCAGTGATTGAGACCAGTCAGATGGGATTACGTCCAGTTCCCAAATTCTACCTAAGACCTCGGTTAATCTCATTGCTAATACTGGACCACCATCCTTAAAAATCTCAGGAGTAAACCTGTCAGGGCCTGCTGCTTTCCCTCGTTTCAGATTTCCTATGGCTTTTTCAACTTCGTAAAAAGTCGGAGGACCTACATTAACTTGCCATTCAGGTTGACTAGAGATCGTGGGAAACCGAAGTGTGGCTGAAGGCCAGTTGAACTGATCCCTAAAGTGTTCTGCCCATCGATCCAATCTCCTGGATTGAGAATGAATAATATGTCCATCTTTCTCTGAGATTGTTTCGCTAACGGTCGGGTTCCTAATTCCGGTTTCCTTAACGAGTCTGAACAATTGTCTGCTATTACCTATTGCCGCTGCCTTTTCCATCTGTCTTGCTTTCGCTACCCACCACTGTTCGCGATCGTTGCGTAGGCTTCTGGTCAGCTTGCGCTTAAGCTGACTCCGCTCTTCATTATGTTCAGAGCCAGGTGGAATGAGTTTCCGAGCATCTATCAGTGAGATAGATGCTGCTGAGATCCAGTGTTGCTCCCTAACCTTCTGGTTTACCTTACTAGCAGATATCACTGCTGTTTCCACAGCTTTTCGGATATCATTCCATGCTGCATCGGGGTGGGCATCACATACATGGCTGCCTAACTGTTTTCCTAGTTGTTCCTGAAATATACTCTTAGCTTGACTATCATTAAGTAGGCCCCTAAGAGGTTTTCTTGCAGTGTCTTTCCTACGTCCAGTTAGACGCAAGCAAATACGCGCTCGCACTAGAGCATGATCTGAATCTAGGCATGTGCTCCAGAATGAGCGACAGTCTTCTATCGAGCCCCTCCATCGGTGGCTGATAGCGATGTGATCTATTTGGGTCCAACATTGGGACGAATTAGGGGGTCTCCATGTTATAAGATGTTTTTTCTTATGCTTAAAGTTAGTATTTGCAAGGAACAGGCGGTTATCTGAGCATAGCTGCAACAGACGGTCGCCATTATCTGTTCTTTGAGCCACGACACCGTAAGATCCACCCAGGTGTCTCTCCCTATCGCTTAGTTTACCTACTTGAGCATTAAAGTCACCGGCCACAATTACTACATCCGAGCGCTTAGCTTTTCGGAGAAGGTCCGAAAGCTTTCTGTAAAACTCATCTTTTACATCATCTGAGCTGCAGTCAGTGGGAGAATAGGCAGAGACGACGAAGAGGCAACGACGAGTGTCCCTATCTTTCCGGATTCTTACTGTTCCGTTCAGTCGGACAGCGCACAAACGACTGTCTACTGGGATCCACTCTAAGAGAGCTAGTTCTGCCCTAGGACTCAATGCTATACCTACGCCGGCAAGGCCGCGGGAAGCAGAATCAGGGCTCCCAGATACACGAAGCGTAAATCGAGTCGGTTCTTTATTTTGGCATGGTGAGGTCAAATGAATGACGCTACTTGGATCCTGTATGCGCGTTTCGGAGACGCAGCACACATCGATGGCGCGAGATTCTAAAGTCCTAGCTAATGAAGCCTGCTGTCCTATTCGGCAAAGTGTTCGTACGTTAAAAGCTCCTACGTGTAGTTTAGAGCGTGGTTTCAGGAGACCAGGAATAGCGTTCCACGTACTCGAATCGTTTGCCCTAGCGGTGCGAGGTGATAAAGAGACGTGGGGAGGGTTAGTCGGGGAGATAAGAGAGGTATTAGAAGGTGTAGGAAAGATTTGAATGTGACCACCTTGGTCTCTTGTGCTGTTACGGGTATGAGGGCTGATATCACTTCCCGGCTGCCCACACCGTGGAAGGGTATTTCTTGAGGAACCTGAAAAGGAAATTGGATTAGTGTTGGTCTTAACGACCTGGGAGCGTGACCGCAGAGCCCAAGGGACAACTGCTTGAGGCCGGTCGCGCACGGCCTTTTTGTGGAAGATTTTTGACGTGTTAGCTCCGTTCTTCAAAGGGCCTTACCGCCGGAGACGGAAATCCGTGAGGTAAGGTGAGGTGTGACATTTTTAGGGTCGACCTTTTCTAACCCCACCCCTCCTTGTGGGAAGGCAGCATCGCTGTCATGCTGGATGTCCGAGGGAAACACCTTACTGCTGTCACACCCCTCTACAGTCAGCAGTACGACTTCGCCCTCAGACCTTGAGTTGCTGCTTTTAGTCTTACCGTTCACCAATCGACCTGCCTGGCATGGTAGAACCTGCAGGAACATATGTTCCAGCCAATATAGCTCGGTTGGGTCATCACGATAGGCAAGCCCGACCACCGCGTCAAGGTAGCAGCTTCGATCGGGCTAGTATCACATTTGTCACAAACAATTGATAGGAAACAATAAAATACAGGGACCATCTCTTGGAAGGAAAAATGCACACAAATGGTTAGTCCTTGTAAATTATAACCTTTAATTTATCAGAATAACTTTAATATTGACCTAAAATTCATGAATATTAAAGAGTCTACCTTTAACCGAATCGCTAGCAGCAAATAGATTACGAAAGTACTAAGGAGGTCTACTTGTTCAACAATAAATGACATTTTATTTTAAAAAAGTACCACAACGTAAAATAACGCCGCGCTATCTAATGTTGTGTAAAATCAGGTTGAAAAACTGTGTAACCAACTTTAGGGAAATACACGCCAAGTGCCAGAACTTTAGTAGGTTATCGAATATTGGAAGACTTCGTGCAAAAGTCCATTTTCTAGGGAAAAGCCAGTATTTACCAAAATTTCGAGTGCGAATGGCAAACTATGTGGACAAAAAGACATCATGACAGGTGACCTGCTTCGGTATAGGCACCCGGGCAGTATCACAACCCACACACAAATCAAGTGACTTATGTTGCGCATATGTATTTGGTGCTGCTTTGCATCAATATTTATGTGTTCAAATAAATAACTGAACTAAATCAGAAGCGGAATAGATCCCCAGTCAGTCAGGCCCTGAGGTAAGATGGAGCTTTATCAAGTCTGAAGTCCTTTGTTATTGTGTTAATTCACAATGATAGATGAAAATACTTCTGGAGACAATTCTTCGACGATTACAGATCCAACTACACAATCTAGTAGCCCACTAAACTAGGATACTGCAGATGTGGATAAATTAGACAATTTTAATAACAAAATAATAGAGACTAAAGTAATTTGAGTGTTAAATGTACATATTTTTTTCCAAAAATGGGTTTAAGTGAAGTTTAGATTCTTACATACGATCCAGTTTACCAGAGCGTTGTCAAAATGGAGTAGTGGTGCTCCAGTGTGCACTACCTCAAGTGTACTCATTTCCATGATGTTTCGCCGACCTACAAGTAACTTTCCACTCCCATTGATTGCATTCATCAGCTTAATAAAAGCTTATATATATGAGTCACCGTTAACATTCACACCTATTTTGGTTAGCCCTGATGAGTAACTTGAACTGTTACTTGAGCTGTCTTTTTACTATTCAACGATAAGCGGTGACGTTGGATAGAAGATGCACTATTATATGAAACAAAACTTTGTTTAAAGAAATAATATTTATTACTGTATAGATCCTTAACAGCAGGTTTAAAACCCAACTTCAAGAAAATATATGCGAAGTACCATAACTTGGTATTATTAGTGAGGTGGAAACGAAAAACATATACATCAGCCGAAATTTCGTATGCTTATAAAATAGTGACATATATAAATAATTCGAGTTACGAGCAAAGACTACATTGATTACGGTTTTAAATTGTCCTACTTGCGATTTTCATTTGGGACTGAAGAACAAATGGAAATCTCGACTCTTCTCTCTCGAATGGAGAACAAAGTGATCAGTTTGTAAGACGACGGGTTTTATCATTTTTATCACATGGTAACGCCAAGACCTTCAAGATGTGATCGCAACGACCGCGAAGGGCATTAGAACTTTAGAGTTTTACACAACTGCAAGTCATACAACCAAAACTAACTGTATAGACACTTAGAAACCGAGTTTTTTAATCGTGCGAGAAGAGCTTAGAAAAGAGTGTAGGTGTAGTTATGAGGGAATTCTGGCGAGACTATAATTTATGGACGAACCAATAATATCTAAGATAGCAAGTCTTTAATTCATTCAATTATTTGGTTAGATATCACTTTGGCACTATAGTTTATGTCAGTTCATGATGAAAACGTCAAATGTAATTTCTAACCCTAACGGTCAGCTGTAAATCCTAATTACTCACACCAATCTACAAACCCCATTCAACCCTGGTAAGTAGGTGGACAATTCAAGGTCATTTTAGCGTCGCTCAAGAGTCATCCATAAATTATAGTCTCACCCGGATTCTCTCGCAAATCATATGACAGGCTAAACAAGTACGAATGTAGAGGAAAGACCGCAACTAAAACCACTCATCACAATTAACTTACTACAGAATTACCAATATATTCTATCAAGTATACCCCTGAGCTCGCAATTATGAAATACATTCTTAATTGAAAAACTGAGTCCACTAAATATTTACTTCAGTTGATAATTAAATAATCACCAAACTCGCCGCCTAGATCACGAGTTTTGACTGTAGAATAGCAATTTTTCCTTAAAGGATGAAAGTTTGAGACCTTGAGAAGTCAGCTGAATTATTTTACGCTTTTAAAATGACTATTAAAGGTTAGAATATATTTCTTAGGACGCAAATCCCAATCACACGATTTTGGGGAAATTTCCGGGTTTCCAAAAGTCCAATGACAGTTAGCAGTTTTTTCCAAAGCTTGGGGGATTTTCGCCACATGTGGGTGATTTTTGGGCCTTTTGTGCCATTTCCCCAAACTTTTTTATAACGGCTTCCCCAGAACGGACACATTTTTCCCCGAAGTAAGGACATTGTGATAGTTTGACTTTACACCATTCAAACCTAACAAATTAACTCACTAGCTCTAAGCGTGCACATCCAAGACTTGAACTCATGGGAGTTGACATTAAACTAGATATAACTATAAAAAATATATATTGCTGTAATCGAATCTAACGTGGAGACTGTTCAACCATCTCCATAAATTTGTATTGAGGACAGGATAACCCCAAGCAGTTTGTAAGTTTATGTTTGGTTTGTAAGTACAACCTTCTTATGTCAAATATCCCAAGTGTTGCAACCAATCAATCTCATTAGCAGCTTGTAATTGAAGGACAGTAACGGAACTACTTGAAATCTCGCCAAATGGTTCAAATGGTTCAAATGGTTGTGGACGGAATAGAAGAAGCTTTCGCTTAACAGGCTTCCGTGTCTAGTAGCAGGGGATCACCAAATCCTCCAGGCAGGAACCTAGGTATGTTAACAATAAAAGAGGAAAAGAAATTGGTAAATCATAGTGCGATGCTGTCCTTGGTCCTTAAGAATAGGTCAAGTTGCCTCTTGAAGGACTCCTGAGAAGTCGCTTGGACTAGCTCGGCCGGCAGCGAGTTCCAGCTTTTGACAACTCTTAAGGAGTAGAAGTTGTGTCTACATTCCGTCTTGCTATGTTGTGTTTCCAGTTTCTGGGTGTTACCCCTTAGGTTATTGTTCGAACTAAGCTTAAGTAGGTGTTTAAGAGGATGTCCAGAATTGTTAAGAATACTATAAGCCATTAATAAATCACCTCTAGGACGCCTATATTCTAGTGGGTAAAGGTCTAGTGAACGGAGGCGTTCTTCGTAAGGCTTGGATTTGAGTCCTCGAACTGATTTCGTGGCTCGCCGTTGGATACGCTCCAAAGTGACCTTATCCTTTTGGAGTGAGGGGGGGAGTACTATGTTTCCGTACTCTAAATGGGGACGGATGAAACTATTGAAGATTGTGTGGAAAGTTCTTCCGTCAAACTGGCCAAAAATGCGCCTCAACGTTACCAGTGCAAGGTTTGCTCGGAAGGCATTTTTGTCACAGTTAGCGTAAGACTTTAAGTCATGGGGCACCAGGACTCCTAAATCTTTTTCGACTTGGGATACTACTAGACAGGAGTTTCCTAAGTTGTAACTGTAGTTTGCGACATGTCGCAGATGGACTACTTTACACTTAGAAGTGTTAAAGGTAAGTCCGTTATCGTCTGCCCAACTTTGAAGTCGAGTCAGATCCTCTTGAAGTGCCTGTATATCGTCTTGGTTGCCTATCTCTCTCCAAAGTTTCACGTCGTCGGCAAAAAGTAATAAGTCTGACGTTACCTGTTGAGGAAGATCGTTTATGTAGATCAAGAAGAGAAGAGGCCCTAGTACTGAGCCCTGGGGGACCCCACTAGGACATTCCATAGCTTGAGATAAAGTGAAATTAACCCTAACCTTAAAGTGTCGATTTTTTAGGTATGAAGTAAGCCAATCGATTAGAGGTGGTTTGATACCTAGTCGTTTGAGCTTGTTGATAAGACACAAGTGGTTAACCTTATCAAAAGCTTTTGAGAAATCAAGGTAAATGACATCAACTTTTCCCTTGCGATCGAGGATGCTTGTCCATCTGTCCACCGCAGTCAGCAGGTTGGTTATACAAGAGTAACCCTTCCTGAAACCATGCTGTTGGGGTGAGAAGAAATTTAAGGACAGTAGGTAGTCATTTAAACCGTCGCATATCAGGGACTCCATGAGTTTTGAAGGTAACGACAGAAGAGCTACCGGCCGGTAACTTGAAGGTTCATTGCGTCGACCACCTTTGAAAATTGGTGTGATGTGAGCCAACTTCCAATTTTCCGGTAGTTTGCCTCGGCTAAGCGAGTGTGAAAACATCACGCTAAGCGGCGTTGCCAGGATTGAGGCTGCCTCCCTCAGTATGGCAGGATGAACCATATCCGGGCCAGGAGAAGTGTCAAGTCTTAAGTGCTGCAGTTTCCGGAACACCAAGTCAGCGCTTAGGTCCACTTCAGAAAGTCCTGTGGAATTGCAGATGAAACTGTCATGAGTAAAGTTGATATCAGCCGGTTGAAATGTTTGAGAGTAATGGGCCGCCAGAAGGTTAGCGGCGTCGCCATCGTTGTTGGTCGGGCCGTTAGGACCTAGCAGTTGAGAAACTCCTGTTTTGGCTTGACGAAGAGAGGCTGCATAACGGAATAGGCTTCTAGGGTTAGAGGCGAATTTGTCCATAAGCTTTGTTTGGTACTGAAGCCTGTCTTCTCTTATAGCCTTCGTGCATGTGTTCCTGATATGTTTGTATTGCCTATACGCTCCATCGTTATTTTACTTCAACTTTCATGAACTGTTCATCCCTTGGAATCTCCTTACGGTCAATTAAAATTAAACGTTGGTCACCGAAAGGCTCCGACTATTAACTGAATAGTAAAATAACTAAAAGTATTTCAAAGGGTTTTGGACCGAGGTAAGGACCGAAGTATGTTTAACGATAAAAGAGAAAAATACTGGTGGTCTGTAGAAAGATAATTTGCTTGGTCTTTGGGAATATACCAAATTTCCTCCTAAAGGACTTCTGGGAAGTTGTTTGGCCTGGCTCGGATGGCAGCGAATCCCAGCGTTTGACTACTCTTAAGTTGTAGAAGATGTACCGACAGTTTGTTCTGTTGTGTTGTGTCTCTAGTTTCCGGGTGTTGCTCTGAGGTTTGCAATCAAAACAAGCTTAAGCAGGTGTTTAAGGGGACTTAGATTTGAGTCTCCGAACTGATTCGACCATTAATGGTGCTAGTTATGTATTAAACTAACCAATCAAATCATTGCTTAGGCTCCCATCACGTTAATCTAGTCTCATGTGTCTGTGACTTACCAACTGAAGGACGTTATTATCGTATTACATTAGTGTGACTCATAATTCTAATTCATTTTTATAAGACACGCAATACTGGTCGGTATGCTTGTGCGCTTTTGTGGTATTTGTATGAACTAACGATTCCTTTGTACTCGTTGAGTGCTTGATTTCGAATTCCAAATACAGGATATTTGTTCGTGCTTATATAGTATTTCTTGATCCGATTGTATTATTTTTGAGATTTCTAGTTTGTGCTATATTTCAAATACTCCTAATTATCATATTGGCATCGCGATGGAGCCTGCAATGGAACAGATAGATATTCATTCAACCTTTGAAGCTTTTGAGGATTATTTGAAAGGCTTTGATGATGGCACATGTATTCAGTGTTTGACGACGCTTCTACCAGTAACACCTAATATGATTTGTACCCACCGAGAGAAATCAAAAGACAGAGTCGAGGAGATCGGAATAGTGTATTTGGCAATGACCAATATATCGGAATTCTCTGATCTAATCTGGCTAGCGATTGCGATTGATGTTGAGCACGGCGTTACCACACGTGATCTGGTGCGGATGCATGACCGAGCGCCTTCAGCTAGATGTGTCCACTAAAACTAATCTGGTCAGCATCCAATGTCGAAAACTTACAGAGCTATTTATTTTGGGGATTTATTTACCGCAACAGATTGAAATCTGGAGCATGACTAAGAAAGATGTTAAAGGTGATAAAATTGTGGCACATTTCCTGACATTCATCGGAAGAGAAGCGTACAGCTGATTAAAAACTTTGGCATATCCAGGAAAACCTACCTCATGTAAAATGCACTAATTTTGAATGCCGTGAAAGAGTGAAGTTTCATAAGATGATTCGTCAAAATGATCAAAAGGTTAAGAAATTCATCCTTGAATTGCAGAAACAAACTGCTAAATGTAATTTCGGTGATCAGTTTCATGTGCTTCATTGCGTCGTTTACTTCAGAAGAATATCACAGTGAATCAGATACGTGTTCATTTTGTGTATCTAGTTTCGGGCTGTTAAAAGACTTCATAAATATTTATTCGGAAAGAAATTCACTATTTTTACTGATCATGAAGCTTCAAAGTTTATTTATCATTCTGAAAAATCCTTAGCACGTTCCTCAGCTGCTACGTTTCAACGATGGAGTATTGCTCTGAGTGCATATGACCATGCGGTTCAGCACAGAAGTGCCAAACAAATTCAACACGTTGACTACATTTCTCGACAATGATTACAAGATAGACCTGTTGATACTTTAGACTGTTTGTTAGTGCAACCTTTACCAGTGAGACGTCCAGATCTCATTAGAGAAACTCGTAGATACTTTGGATGTATACTCAGTGCTATACGGAAAGGCTGGAATGCTAATTTGAAAGGTAGATTTCCTGTCTATTTTTCAAAGTGGGATGAGCTATCCACTACTCCCGATGGTATTTTGTGTTTAAAAGATCTTGCTGTAATTCCTCCTTCATTGCGTAAATCTGTCCTTGAAGATCTTCATAGTGGACATTTAGGTGTTGAGAGAATGTAGTCTTTGGCAAGGCTCACATGTTGGTGATCAGAGGTAAGTGCAGATACATGTCGTACAGTAAACAGTTGTGGAAAATGTCACAAGTTGAAAAATCAGCCTTCGAAGTGGATTCCATGGCCAGTATCGTTTGAGGCCTAGCAGAGGATTCATGCAGAATATTGGGGTCCGTTTCTTGGAGAATAGTATGCACCTGTAGTCATTGATTCTCTTTCAAAGTGGCCTGACATTTTTTCACAACTTCACCAAATTCTGATTTCATAATCCAAGCATTAAGAAAGGTATTTAGTCGAGAACGGGTTCCCATGGTGTCAGTGACAGATAATGGCTCTCATTTAGCTGAAGGTGCAGTTGTAGAATTATGGTCTACTATGATATTAGTACTGCTCTAATAAAAGACCTAATCCTAAAATTGTAGATTTGTCATGATATAACTGCCTAATCTATAAGATCTTACGTGGAAGTCACATCATCGTCTACACCAACTCACTGTGTCGTAACAACTACCAATACATGATGTAGAACAAGCTTAGGCTAGAGAAAGAACAATATATTTAATATGAATAAAAGATATAAGGTAATATTCAGAGGGACCACGCCTGCATGGCTGAGCCATGCCACTCGATCAACTCCAATTCATTCAATTCATTCTTCGCGCCTTCTCCATCGTTAGGTACTTATCCGCGTTAAATATTGAATATCTATTTTCTGAGTAGTCTCGTGTTCACAGCTTTGTGGATTGTGCGGTTATTGTTCAGTGCCACTACACAGTCACTACCTGGTTGAAGGGTACGGTGTACAAACATCTGTTTGCTGCTCCCAGACATCTTTATTCTAGTGGTCAGGCAAAAATTTTTGTCATGACATTGAAAAATGATATTGATTCTATTGCCACCTCAACATTTAATGAGCTGGAAAGGTGAGTAGATACCTTTCTACTGCAATATAGAAATGCCAAACATTCGGTGACGAAAGAGGCTCCATCAAAGCTATTAAAAGGAAGAATTCTTCGTCCAAAAGGAGGTATTTGGTGTCTGCACAAGTTACATATTATCGTGGAAATGATCTTCGACCATCCACGAGGATTGTTCTAAAGAATGTCGAGAAATATATGGTGCGAATTCTAGATATCAATGACTTAAGCACACACAATCGACATGTTGATCAAATACAATTCCAAGAACCAGGTGAATCTGTTCCAATTTTAGTTGTTAATTCTAATGTTAATCAGTACATTCAAAGTAATACAGAGTCCTTATCCAATTCACTGTCCGACAGACAGGATGAATTTGAGAAGTCGTACAATCGATTGCAGACACTTAGTCTCAAATTTAAGCTGTGGCGGATGTGGTATTTGTACAAACTAACGAGTCCTTTGTACTTGTTGAATGCTTGATTTCGAATTCCAAATACAGTACATTTGTTCGTGCTTATGTAGTACTTCTTGATCGGATTGTATTACTTCTGAGATTCGTAGTTTGTACAATAATTCAAATGCTTCTAATTATCATAGTTTTACTTAATGACTGTAATCTCCCTAATAATTGTTTTTAAGTTTAGAAATAGGTAAAGTTTAAAGCGATTTTGTCCCTGTTCTGACTATAACTTTCACATAGACTCTGGGTTTATCAGTTTCGCGTTTACGGTTCTAGTAGTATATCTGTAGGATAAATTAAATCCTACAACGTTTCGACTAGTACCTCATCAAAAATCCGTACGCTGAGTGCTGCTAAATGTCTACGGAGCAGAAACGAAAGACTGTTCAGATCCGTGAATTGTTCCCCAATTATAAAGGAAACTCATAGTGATGACCAATTTAAGGGAAACGACTACCGAATAGATCCCTTGTTAGAGTCGGAATATACTAAAGTAGGTTAAGCTCAGCTGGAAAGAGAAATTGAGATCGAGAGGTTACGTCAAAAGGGAAGGGACCATTGTAGCTGAGCTATGGCTAACAAGGTGATATCTCACGAGTCTACATCTATCTCATATGTAGTTGATGTTCCTCCTGGAAAAGACTGGATGACAATGATATCCAATGCTTTAGACCTACCAAAGTGAGAGATCATAAGGTTTGATGGTAATCTCAATTACTATTAGAGTTTTATACGGTATTTTCAAGGCTGTTTTGATGGAGGCGTTGGATCCCGATCTAGGTTAAACTAATTGGTTCAGCATTGTGATGGTGAAGCTTCTCGAGGAAGCATTCGGTCAGAAACACATCGTAGCCCAAACATTTATTGATAGGATGCGGAATACCACTGCTATTAATGGACCTGATCCAGATAATCTGAGAAAGCAGTGTCGTGAGATGCATATTGTGAGCTGACTATTGCACAGATGAGCACTTCATCCAACCTTAATTGTACAAAGACTGTCAAGCACCGAAGTCATATGCCGTCGAAGTATGTGGTTGGAGACACCATACCTTGTTTCACAGGAAGAGCAGAGAGATCGTACTAGTACTGCCCACATTAATACCCAACTCTATACTGAGAAAAGGGTTGGGCGTGCACAGAAACGAGTAGCGTTCGCAGTAGTACCTGTATTGATAAAAAATTGGGAAAAGGCGGTACAGACTTGCCCTTTCCTAGATAAGGAGGCTAGGTTTCTCGAATGTATTATACAGACAGCGAAGCAACAGTTCTACATTGACGTTTTATTAACCAGTGTTTATACGTTATAAGAAGCTAAATTAGTATACCCTCAGCTGACGGAGATGTTACGTTTACTGTTCTTATCTGACCAAGTGGGCCAGCAACAATTTTGAAATAATGAAGTTTATTCCGGAGAAAGACCTCACAGAAAGTAACGCGGACATTTGTTTATCTATGGAAAGAAATTAAAAAACTGTAGGAATAGAGTGTAATCTCTGAACGGATAAGATCTTCATAGAGTGCGAATTCGATGCGATTCCTACAAGAAGAACCATATTGTAATTTGTAGCTCCTATATTTTACCCCTTTGGGTCTGTAGCTCCAGTTGTTTTATCAACTGAGTTAATTTTGTAAGACACTTGTCTGCAAAATCTGGCATAAGACGCATTGCTTCCTACGGAGTGCCTTATGAGATGGGACTGCTGGCTTAGAGGTATGAAGCGCCTCAGTGGACTGTCACTTCCAAGATGTCTCGTACCAGAATCGTGCAAACCACTGGCTCTGCTGATGCCTTAGAATTTACATATGGTGTTGTTTCCCGTCAAGTCTATTGTTCCTTTTTATTAGCTAAGCCCAAGGTTGCTAAGCCAAAAACTGGAGCACCATCTGCTACTAGACCCAAATCAACTCTAAGAAAGCCTAAGGAAAAGAAAGTCATCAAGCCGAAAGTTAAGACACCGAATAAGCCAAAGACCACTGTAACAAAGAAGTCAATAACTAAGACCCTGAGGAAGCAGACAGCACATATTCGCCGTGCTATCGAACATGGTGTTGTGAATAAGAGTGAGGGTGCATCTAGCAGCTTTAAAGGAGCCAACACTAGCCTTAGACAGATTTTGTGTAATTGGAACCAGAATAGAATAGCAAATGCCATTTTAGAAAGAGGGTGTGGATGACGTTCCTAGAGCCAGTCATCATAGCAGTGTATGCGGACGCATCATGAATTCAATAAGAAGGACTCTAAGATCACTATTTTTTCAGAAGGTATTGACGGACGAGTCTTTGGAGGTATTTTTAATAGAGGTTGAAGGAATACTGAACATTCGACCACTCATAAAGCAAGTTCAACTGTACAATATTTCTTTAGCTTCAGTTTTGGCTAGGCTCAAAACCAGATTGTGATTCCGAGCCATATTAGCTTCTCTGTTTGGTTTTACAGCTTCTGCCGAAATTCTTGTTTTTTGGTTTACGAAGATGTGATTATTCTGGTACTCTGAAATGTTGTCTGATGAGATACATGTGACTTTGTCCTCACTTGAGTTGTAGAAAATGCTGTCGCCTAAAATCATGTTGTTGAAACTACATGGACTTATCAGACGCTTAACATTCTCGTTTTCCTCTTCTAGTTCATGTCGCTACATCGTGTAATGATATCCGGCTTGTCTATAATGAAAACATGTTTGTTGGGATATTCAGGAAAACATCCCAAAAATTATCCTGTTAAGCCTAATGCTATCCTTGGACATGAAGTGGTATCATCTTATTAGTCAATATTTGTTTAACGGGTCATTTTCCTACTGGCCATTATTGTACAATGTTATTTTCTATTTTATGGTACGTTGTGGTCTGCTTGACTGGTATATAAACAAAGTATGTTTGAAATATAATGATTCATATATCCGAGGCTGTGACTTGTGTTCTGGACTTAACTGGCTGGGCTAGACAGGGAAGCGGGACCAATCAGAACCCTAGGCCGTTCCACGTGTTTGTGCGTCTTTGGTCCGATCAATAATTCGCTACCCCTTAATCCGCAGTATTTTTCACAGTCATAACAATGTTCTTGACAGTGGTCAATGTGTTAGTGGCTCAAAGTCCTTCAAATTAATTCAGAAACGATTCGTTTCGACTCTTGGTAAGCTCTACCCAGAACAATTTCACAAACAGATCTACGAGGCAGAAGGATAACTTCTATGCTAACAAACTTCAGGTATTGCTAACACAAGCAATACCAAAATATGGCAGCAAGTGGTGGAAGATGAGGCGTGTGCTCTTAACTTGAGTACTAAACAAGATATGATAAGGACGGGATTGTGAGTGCCATTCCCACTAATGTAGGAAAAAGGGTCTATAATGCGGAGAAAGGACTTTGTTACAGGTCTTCAAAGATAGTAACTGGGTAAATATTGTAGGCTAAATCTTGAAGGTTATTACTTACTACTATTCTTTCCCAGTCAATGTTCCGACAGTCAGTCATAAGCAATGTCAAAAAAACTTTGACGCCACTCCCTTCCCCCCCTTTAAAATAAACACAGGCGAGAAAGAATATGAGAGAGTTTAAAAACGGAATGACCAAATGTTGTAATTCCAACTAAAAGAAGTAATGACTTCACCTTCAACAGACACATTCCTCATGATTATGCATTCGTACACCAAATCGTATGAGAACACGACAGGGTTTTAAGTCCTTGTACTTTACGTCAAATTTAGTTAAATGTACAAAGTTGTTTAAATTTGATAAGCTGTATTCTGTTTCAGTTATCGTCAAAGCGGTAATTTGTTTCTATTGTTGGTTAGTATGATACCCGAGGGATTACCGGAGTTACTGGAGAAGTTCACGGAGAAGGCTATATCAGAAAAGCCGACTGATTTGGTTGAGTTCGCAGCAAATTATTTTCATAACCTTCTGGAATCCAAAAGTCAACTTGAAGAACGCAAGTTACTCCCTAATTTTTTTGCTTAATTAATCCAGTATATCGAAAAGAATAAAAAAACCTGAGATTTTTAAACATTCTGAAGAATATGATTTTCTTATAAACTGAATTCTTACACCTGGCCAAAGTTTTCTACCATAGTTGAGTATTTTACTGTGAAATCTCACGTTTGGAAATAAATTAAGAAGAGTGAAGGAATTTGCTTTATTTAGCATTTCAAGCATTACGTTTCATCATTTCCATATATTTGTCTAGAGGATAAACTATTTGGTGAATCCGAAGTATTCAAATATTTGAGAAACGTGATTTCCTCTGGTTCTTTAGCTGACCGTCCCTTCAGACTATAAAGATTGTATTTATCGTTTATAATCCCACCACAGTCTCTAAATGATATGCTTGTTTTTTATTAGATCTGTCTTTATACATTTCTTCTCATATGCTCATGGAAGCTAACGAAATTTAGATTTTTCATTACTATATTGATATAAATAAGCACCAAAATATTCGGTGTTGTCCGTCATTCTACTTCTCATTTTTACAGCGTCAGTAGATTTGTACAGGCGACAAGTTAATGAGGCTTAGGTTGACTAGTGTATCAGAAATCAGATTACTCTGAATATTTCTCTATCTATATTCATACTTAAGACAGCCATAAGCGTAATTAGGTGTCATTTAGATAACCTATTGTGTAATATACATCTAAGCTGGTCAATTTCACCATGCTGGCCGCGATAATTTTACATTCTACTTTCTTCACTATACTCAATAACACTTGTTTTGATTGGGATAAAGTAGAATTGGATGTCTCCAGTTTTAGTCCGTTGTCCATTGCATAATAAATCTACACATGGAGGAATATATAGATGCTCCAGTATATATTCGTTTAGTTTTATGTCACCGAAATGAGTTATCTCCCTCGACTGAACCTATAAAAGTGTAATTGAAAGTAATTTTGAATAAACGTTTAGTTGGTCACTGTGATGCTACTATGCTGTATTTATCCTTAATATACAAAGACGTTTTAGTAGGATCACATGTTGGTGAAAGTGACCCGGGTTATACATTTTTCTTGCCTTGATTAGTGTACTCATACTGAGGATACTGAGCAACTGTAAGAATGTTATCATTATAACATGTGAAACTAGTTAATTTATTTTAGAAATCACAGTAAAAAAGAAATAATATTGCTAAAAATAGCGGTGATGAATTAACTCCAACGTTTCTGCAGTCTAATATGAATGAGCTCTGAGAGTATTTGCATGCTTTATCAATTGCCTAATGAAACCATATTCATGGATTCTGGACTAATTAATTTTTAGAAGGTCATTTTAGATTCTATGACAGAATTGCTAAGTGGCCTAAAGAGGACTTGAGTACCTATTAAAGCTCTAATGAAGCAAGCCAGCTTATACAAAATGTCCTGCAGACAATTCCGTAAAGCATATCTTTGAATGCATTGGAATAAGAGCTTTTGTTTTAGGCTTTGAGAAGCAAAACAACTTGAGATTTTGTGTCATCACGGACTGATTGTTTACAAGCTCACACCTCACTATAGGATCCAAAGCACTCGAAGTATAAGGACTGTAAATATTATTATCTTTGTTTTATTACTGGCCAATGCTATAATGAAAAAATAATCAACTCACAGTCGTCTCACATAAAACATTTACTCATAGGTTGTAAGCTCATATGAATCTAAGATGACGCTCCTAATTTCTTAAAGGTTTTTATTTCCCATTTGTTAATTCACAAATAAGATTTACCTGTCCCTACTGGCCTGTTTGCTAGTTAAACGTATGCTATACAGATATCTAACGGTTATGGTAAATGGACAGCCTTGAAGATAATATTAATGCCTAAAAGGACAGATTCTTGGTTTGAGTATTAGTTGGGACAGTAAGAAGTTATGTTATAGGTACACTTAGCTGACGACTCGTCAACTTAAACTGTTTTCAAATTTTGAGTGTTGACAAATCACTATCCATGATCTATTGTTGTGCATAAGCAGCTAGAAATAGCTAATTTTTATGGTAATATTGTGGTGAACAGAACACGGGTGGGGACAATCGAATGTATGTCACAAAATTACAGGACTTGTTAATAAAATCTAACAATAATAAAGTAAATGCTTAATTTCCAAAATATCCGCCAGTTGTCTCAAAATGACTCAGAATTCATTGTTCCTGCATTTTCATACGAATTGCATCTTGTTTCCATTCTTTGCTGTTCGATCCTCTTGTCTCTCTGCTGCCAGATCTTCTGTTCACGACTAACATCATATACTACTTATGTCAATATAAGCAGCACACACCACAATATCATTAATTTAAATAGTTCTCCCATAAAGTATGCATATGCAACCCCATGTTTAAAGCGGTTATTTTATCAATGAAATTTTAGACACGAGTATATTTTCCGCTTCCACTGGTATTCCACAGTATGATGTTACGATAACTGTCAGCGATTCAAAACAAACGGTTCCCGTAATAACCACAACCTCTGACAGGTTTGTTCGTTCGTTTCTAATGTGTAATCGATTATTTTTAATAACATTTAAGCGAAAACAACAAGTGTTACGACGATTCAGAAATCGCCTTAAATTTATTACAGCTGTCAACTAGTGAATGTTTCATCCCTCTACTTAACAACGAAAGTAATTTAAACGGAGATAATCTCAAACATGTAGTTATCATCCAAACTGTGATTTGGGTTGTCTTGCTCTGTGTTGTGAAGTTATGCCTACTTATTGTTGTCTGTGCAACTGTTAACTGATATATCATTCGGACAAGTGCATAAAATATCAAAAGATTTTGTAAAGTGCATTTGTATCTTGACAGGTGCACCTTTCACGTATTGATATTTGTTAACTAACTCAGAAAGTCTATATGTAGTTATCTAGTGTTCCTAAAAATGAGTCCAAAGTGATCTCTTTTGTGTTTAAAACCTTTTACATTATTCTCATTACAGTTTTCTATATTCACTGAAATCCTTTATGTGTAACCACGTCAAGAAATGAGTTGATGACGAGTGTCAGTCAACTGTTTTTATGTTGCTTCTTGATTTTCATCTGTCAGGTGACATATGAGACTCAAAAGATTACAGCTCTCTTCTTAATGTTCCTAAGTTTTTATGTAGGTATATGGTGGTTATAAACACAGACCCAGTAACCTTCTACTATACACACCCATATTGATGTTTTATGGCCGAAATAAATAATTGAAGATGAAAAAACCCAAGAACTTGTTAAGGACTCATTTGGTTGAACTTATGGTAAAGACAAATAGAGACGGACTTCGTTGTATTTCAGCCTACCTTAAACATGAACTACTGATATGAATTGAAACGACATGAATTATCGTGAGTAGCAACATGCTTTAAAATGTTTTGGTGTGTAAACTGAAGAGTACTGATTTTACTGATATTGAATAGAAGTTGTAAATTTTGTATCCTCTTATTTTTCAGAAAGAAACTTCTATTTACTTAGACACGAAGAATTAGTATAAGAGACACGAAAAGGTGCATCATGCATACTGACATATTATCTTCACATAATTCAAAATTCGTTTTTTTCCAAGTGTAGTTACCATCTTATTAACATGAGACGCTAAAATATGGAATTACTGAGGTTTGTCATCCAACTAGTTAAAAGAAATATGCTTTACTTCAAATAAATTTATACATTTAATGAAGTTCCACAATGGCCTTCAAAAGTTTGAAGAAATAAATTTAGAAATTTTTGATATATATGTTGTTTAGTTTCGGACGTGTAACAATGTAACAAATTGGATAATTCTAACCAAGTGTTTTTTCACATTATTAAAGAATTCTTACGGTTATTCATTCAATCTCTAATTAAAGTTTAATCAGGCATTTTCCGAAATTGGGTCATCATAAAAGACAATACATTTTGGCAGATCCTTACTTATGACTCTAGGAAGCATTTAATAGTAATAAAAAGTTTGGTATATATTGTCACAATCGTTTTCTCTGTACCTAGGTACTTTATGTTATCCATGTGTACTACATCTGCTAGATATCAAAGCTGAAAGTCTTATCCATCCAAATTGATACTCTTGGATTGTAATATATATCGTCAATATATTAAAAATCATGACAATTCCTTTATGCCAAAAGGAACTATCACTATCAATCATGGAGTAAGATGTGTATAAGGTGTGTTGAACTTCTAGACTACAATTCCGATTGTTCTAGTGCAAAAATATATTCTTATTATCTTTTTTTGTAATGAAAAAATGAAGGCTTAAAAACTTTATATATATATATATATATATATATATATATATGCAAAATATTTTTCAGTTAGCAACTGATATTTATTTAATAGTTGAATTCACGAGTTGATTAAAGCTAGAACACCAAGGAAAACCTGGGAGGACTAGACGGCTGTTTTGTCCTAGTATGGGACTTAGTACTGTGCATCCAAGATCCCTCTTGCGGGATTCGAACTCAAGGATTTCGGCCTCGTTCTCAAACACTTAACCTTTAGACTACTAAGTTGGCATCTAAGGGTTTGAATGTCTAACTTCAACTAATCCATGATATTACGCCACCGTCCACCACTGTCTTCAGTGAGTAACTGCCTCACCACAGACACGGTTGAACTCCATTGGTCACCGCTTCTCACTAGGACTCTAGGAAATACCTGTTCAAGCTGATCACAAGTGAGCACACACCGCTGGGGAGTCCCATACTAGGACGAAATGGCTATCCAGTGCCTTCAGGTTCTCAGTGGTGATCTAGCTTTAATCGACTTATGAATTCAACTATTAAGTTACCACGATCTTCACAAAAAGCCGCCAATATGATGATATTTATTCGACAAATGTTAATTTACTCAAGCGGAGGGTTTGTATTTCGATATTTTTTCGATTGCTATCACCACATCCAGATAAATAAGATATGGATACACTTAGTTAGTACTGCTAACCCTTCGATCTATTACAAATAATTAAGTAGATTTATTTCTGGAAATATTTGTA